TTTCCTTTCTGATACTTATTCGTTGGTATATAGTAATGCACCTGATTTCTTATATATTGATTTTGCAATCTACAACTTTACTAAAATCATTTATAACTTTTAGCAGTCTTTTTTTGATGAAGTTTTTTTTTTTTTCAGATAAGCTTATGTGATCTTCAAACAAAGACAATTTTATTTTTTCCTTTTCAATTTGGGTATCTTTTTCTTTCTCTTGCATAATTGCTGTGGCCAGAATTTCCAGTACTATATTCAATAGAAGTGGCTAGAGTGAGCATCCATGCCTTGCTCCTTATCTTGAAGAAATAGCTTTTCATTTTTCATTGTAGCATATGGTGTTACTTGTGGGCTTTTCATGGCTTTTATTACATTGAAGTTACTTCCCTCTGTATCTAGTTTTCTGAGAATATTTATCATGAGAGAGAGAATGCTAAATATTTTTAGTTCAATAAGAATTTAGTTCACGATAGAAAAGGAAAATGATTAAAATCTTTATTTAAAACTGCTTTCATAATTTCCAACAAATCCTCTGGAGTTATAAAAGTTTCAATTCCAGCTACAATCTTGAATAAATATCTAAACGCTAACACTATCATTTTAGCATATGGACATTTTCATAAAATATTAAAGAATGAAATCGAAAGAGGCTTATTGATAATTTAGTAGAAATCTCTTTTGATTGTAAAATATGCTCAAATTTTTCTGGTTCCTTCTTACTTTCTAACTGTAGGAAGTATGGTCACAAAAGCACACTTAAACCATTCTTTGATTATTAATCTTAATAAAGTGCATCAAGATTATTGTCCAGCACATGGTTTAGTATGAAATTTTTAGAAATACAGAAAAAGAATTGCTCTGGCCCCAAAACTTACCATAGAAATGTATGTTTGTACACATTCTTTTATTTATTTATTTATTTATTTTTTATTTATTTATTTTTTGACAGGCAGAGTGGACAGTGAGAGAGAGACAGAGAGAAAGGTCTTCCTTTGCCATTGGTTCACCCTCCAATGGCCGCCGTGGCCGGCACGCTGCGGCCAGCACTCCGCACTGATCCGATGGCAGGAGCCAGGTGCTTGTCCTGGTCTCCCATGGGGTGCAGGGCCCAAGCACTTGGGCCATCCTCCACTGCACTCCCTGGCCACAGCAGAGAGCTGGCCTGGAAGAGGAGCAACCAGGACAGAATCCGGCGCCCTGACCAGGACTAGAACCTGGTGTGCCGGGGCAGCAAGGCAGAGGATTAGCCTAGTGAGCCGCGGCGCCGGCCCTACACATTCTTGTTAAATCATTTTCCTCTCTTTGTGTAAATACAGATGAGCCGACATCTAGGTAATCAAGTTTTTAATTTATAATATTTTGTTCACTCATCCCAGTCTTCATATAAAATAGTAATAAGTCCACTTCCATAATGAAGTGTCAGAAATTCATACAGGAGAGATTTTTTTTTATTGGAAAAACAGTATAAAGTGCCAGTTAAGACAAGGCTGAATAAACAAATTCCCAACTCTCCTCTTCTTCCACCCATGCTGACATATTACTACTATCAACTGTAAACAACAATGTGTGTTGGATCCACTTACAATGCCAGTTGTACATGATTCTTTCCTCAGGCAAAATGTTTTCCCAACTTAGAAATGCTCAAATATATTTCAACCAACACTTTTAGGAATCTAAGTAGAGATTTTTAATGAATTTTAATATATGAATCTGATTAACAGACTATACACACACAAACTACAGAGAAATGTTGATACCTGATCTTTATTCCAGACTGCTCAATCTAAATGTTAAAATGATTAAACAATTTATGGTGAAAATGCCTTCTCCATAGATATCTGCTTAGCAGACGGAGCTCTACTAAAATTCACTTATTTCATAATAGTTCAAAATTTCTGATATTTGATCTGATAATAAAAGTTAACCATGGAAGGTCATTACTGTGGTGCAGCAGGTTAAGCTGCCTCCTGCAATGCCAGCATCCTGCGTGGGTGCTAAGTAGTGTCCTGGCTGCTCCACTTCCAATCCAGTTCCCTGCTAATGCACCTGGGAAAGCAGTAGAAGATGGTCCAAGTTCTTGGGTCCCTGCACCCACATGGGAGACCCAGATAAAACTCCTGGCTCCCGGCTTCAGCCTGGCCCAGCTCCAGCTTTTGTGGCCATCGGGGAGTGAACCAGTGGATGTAAGCTCTCGATTTCTCTTCCTGCCTCCCCCACTTTCTGTCTGTAACTCTGCCTTTCAAATAAATTGTCTTAAAAAAAAAAGTTCACAATAGGGCCAGGCATTTGGCCTAGCCATTAAAATGAAGGTTAAGATGCCCATGTCCCACTGTGGCTCCCATTCCAGTTCCGGGACAATGTAGCCCAAAGGAGACAATGGCAGTGGTCCTGGTGGTTGGGTCCATGCTACCCATGTAGGACACCGGGAATAAGTTTAAGGTCTCTGGCTTTGGCCTGGCCTAGCCGTGAGAATTGTGGGCATCTGGAGAGCGAGCTCTCTCTTGCTCTACTTGTTTCTATGCCTCTTGAAAACATCAAAAGAAAAAAGGTCACTGTAGTTTAGAATGTCTAAACTGCGATGACCTCAAAATTGCTGATAAGTGCTGAAAGAAAGTTAATTTGAGAATGTATTTTAACAATCCAATTCTATCAATAATTTAAAGAAAATATGTACATACTAATTTGTATGTGGGCAACACTTAGATGGTTTCATGAACAAATGAAAATATTGATTTAAATCAGTGATGAGGTTGTGGGAATTAGTCTCTGGATTTATGTTGTTATTTTAACAAGGCATTTTCAAGATAATAAAAAAAACCTACTAGTATTTTTAAATGAGAAAAATAAAAACTAGACCAGAGTTCTAGCCCATTGCTAATGATGCATTTAAGGAAAGATGTTTATAAACATATGTTCACCATACGATAAACTAAGCAGATGTTCACTAGTGTTTCCGCATGTTAGTCACAGCGTCCCTACCACACAAGTTTATTAGCCTATCTCTATAATATTGTTTGTTGATATTTGCCTTTTTAATATAGTCTCCAGGTTTTAGCTAAGGAAGAAACTGAGAAAACAAGCAAAGTAACACAATAAAGAGAATTACTAAGTTTTTGAGTAAATAATTAGGAAAAATAAACATCATCTTAACTATACAGTCTAATAGAAACTGTAAGTTGTAAATAAAATAAAATGAAGCAAATGAATTTAGCCTGTTTGAAAATTTCTTCTAAGAGTCACAACCATTTAGGTGATGTCCTTTTCTTGCTTTCTATACTTCATCAGGATCTTCACAAGCCTACATGCACCGAGCTATGTTTTGTCAGACTTTTCTCTTGTGAGGAAGCAGCTGTGGAGGGGCTGCTTGAGGAATTATGCATGACAGTTATTGTTGATTTTCTGAAAAACTCTGAAGGGAGGGGCGGACGTTCAGCACAGAAGTGAAGACCCTGCTTGGAACACCACATCCCGTGATCAGAGTGCCTGTTTCAAGTCCTGCCTCTGCTGGTGATTCAGCTTCCAGCTAACGTGTGTCCTGGGAGACAGCAAGTGCTTGGGTCCCGCCACTCACCTGGGAGACCCAGAATGAGTTCCGGCCTCCTGTCTTCAGCCTGACCCAGCCTGGATGTTGCATGCATCTGAGGAGTGAATCATTGACTCTCTTTCTCTCTCTCCCCTACTTAAATAAATAAAACTTTTACTGAAACACCTCTGAAGCGAGATCTTAGAAAACATCTCAGTTGAATGTGACCTCATCACATTCTTCCTTGCAATGGTTTAAAATAGTCAACTTATGTTGAAATTCTCAATTAGGCCGGTGCCGCGGCTCACTAGGCTAATCCTCCACCTAGCGGCGCCGGCACACCGGGTTCTAGTCCCGGTTGGGGCGCCGGATTCTGTCCCGGTTGCCCCTCTTCCAGGCCAGCTCTCTGCTGTGGCCCGGGAGTGCAGTGGAGGATGGCCCAGGTGCTTGGGCCCTGCACCCCATGGGAGACCAGGAGAAGTACCTGGCTCCTGCCATCGGATCAGTGCGGTGCGCCGGCCACGATGGCCATTGGAGGGTGAACCAACAGCAAAAGGAAGACCTTTCTCTCTGTCTCTCTCTCTCACTGTCCACTCTGCCTGTCAAAAAAAAAAAAAAAAAAGAAAAGAAATTCTCAATTAATTGTTTAAAATGCCTACATTTTATATTTTAAGGTGTTCAATTCATCTACAATTATTATGTATGTTTTGCATTGCTCCTGCAACTTTTAACTAACAGATCTTGCAACTGTGATACAGCTTCATCGTTTTGTGCCACTAAATATCAAAACCCCTTTTGTGGCTCTCATTAAAATCTTAATATTATTAGAGCAGAAAAAAAAAAAAAAAAACCTCTTTGCCTACTACCTGGGGATAATGCTACCATTATGTTGGCGATTAATGGAGTAAGGACAAAGGCCAAACACAACATGGCCCTGTGTTCTATTTGACCCTGTGATCATTTAGCACAGAATTGAGGGCCCAATACAGCTGCCGACCTTGACTTTCCAATGCACTCAAGAAAGAGTGTAATATGTATCCTCTATCCTCTTTCCTAAGCAAAAAATGATTTGGGTAATTAGTTTTTTTTTTTTTTTTTTTTTTTTTTTTTTTTTTTTTAACTTGCAAGTCCTTCCATCCAGGTGGGTCATCTCCTTCTGTGATTTTGGGGTGAGCAGTTTAAGTATACTATTTTACAATAAATAAAATTTTGAAAAGAAGGAAAGAAAAATATAAAAGCCATCTCATTTTTCCTATTTTTTTTTCCTCCTTTTTTATTTTTTTAGTCTTGGCACAGAGCAAGCGGGAAGTTACTTAGCACGGTTCCGGGTTTCCTCGCGCCCCGCCCGGCCCCCCTCCCACCCCCACACAGCTACAGGCTCTTGGTCCCCCAGTCGGTCTGTCCCGCAGCAAGCAACCCGGAGTCCGTCGGTCCGCGCTGGGCCCGCCCGCCGCGCATCTGCCCTTCTCGGCTGACTCCGCCCCGCATCTGTCCGGACCCGCCTCGCGTCTGAGCTGACCCACCGCGCGTCTGCCAGTCAGTCCCTCCGGACCTGCCGCGAGTCTCAGGCTGCCGAAATCACCGCGCCTCAGTCGGTCCGTACCCAGTGGGCATCTTGGGTATCTGGGCGGTCTGCGGTTCCCCGCGCGTGTGTCTGTCTGTCTGTCTCTCTGTCCGATGCGCTGTCCGCAGCCTGCCGGCCGGGGCCAGCACACCAAGTGTCTAGCGTGCCCTTTCGCTGCTGCTGAGTGCTCAGCGGCCTTGGCGAGCGGCGAGCCTGCCCGCGAGCGGCCGGGCAGCCGGCGGAGGAATACACGCTCGGCCTCTGCCCTGGTTGCTATCATTTTCCACCCGCAGGAGCTCGAGGCCTGTGTTTCTGCAGAAAACGGGTCGCGAGGCCTCTGTCAGCAATGCTAGATGTGCGGAGCCAGGCAGCTGCTGGATGATTTCTTACAATTGAACGGTAAAAGGGAAATTTCCTCCTGAATCCTGGCCTTTGACAATGATTTTTCATCTGAACGGGTGAAAATTGTCAGTCCCTGTAGGGAGAATAGATTCGTTATTGGGGTGCCTTTTTGTCTGGTGCGTTTGTTCTGAGCCTGCTGACCAGCTGTTTCTGAACTTCATTTTCTCAGCCTCGACAGTGATTCTGAGTCTGCTTTTAGCTTCCCTTCGCCTGCCTTGGCTTTTTCTGTACGTGAACAGCTGCTTGGCCCATAGCTTAGAGAAAGCAGCCTTTTTTTTTTTTTTTTTTTCCTCTCCCAAGAGAACCTCCTCCCTGTGCTCAGAGAGATGGGGAGCGGGGAGCCGAATCCTGCTGGCAAGAAAAAGAAATACCTCAAGGCCGCCCTGTATGTAGGTGACTTGGACCCAGATGTCACCGAGGACATGCTGTATAAGAAGTTCAGGCCTGCTGGCCCTCTGCGCTTCACCCGCATCTGCCGTGACCCGGTGACCCGCAGCCCCCTGGGCTATGGCTATGTTAACTTCCGCTTTCCGGCGGATGCCGAGTGGGCCTTGAACACCATGAATTTTGATTTGATTAACGGCAAACCCTTCCGCCTCATGTGGTCACAGCCAGATGACCGCTTAAGGAAGTCTGGAGTTGGAAATATATTCATCAAAAACCTGGACAAATCCATAGACAATAGGGCCCTGTTTTACTTATTTTCTGCTTTTGGGAACATTCTCTCCTGCAAAGTGGTAAGCGATGACCACGGCTCTAAGGGCTATGCCTATGTGCATTTTGACAGCCTGGCTGCTGCCAACAGGGCCATCTGGCACATGAATGGAGTGCGGCTCAACAACCGCCAGGTGTATGTTGGCAGATTCAAATTCCCGGAAGAGCGGGCAGCTGAAGTCAGAACCAGGGATAGAGCAACTTTCACGAATGTTTTCGTTAAAAACTTTGGCGATGACATGGATGACGAAAAACTGAAGGAACTGTTCAGCGAATACGGGCCAACCGAAAGTGTCAAGGTAATCAGAGATGCCAGTGGGAAATCGAAAGGCTTTGGATTTGTGAGATATGAGACACATGAGGCTGCCCAAAAGGCTGTGCTAGACCTGCATGGAAAGTCCATCGATGGGAAAGTCCTATACGTAGGGCGAGCGCAGAAGAAAATCGAACGCCTGGCTGAGTTAAGGCGGAGATTTGAGAGGCTAAGATTAAAAGAAAAAAGCCGCCCTCCAGGGGTGCCTATCTATATTAAGAACCTCGATGAGAGCATCAGTGATGAGAAACTGAAGGAGGAATTTTCTTCCTTTGGATCAATTAGCCGGGCCAAAGTGATGATGGAAGTGGGGCATGGCAAAGGGTTTGGTGTTGTGTGCTTCTCCTCTTTTGAAGAGGCAACCAAAGCAGTGGATGAGATGAATGGTCGCATAGTGGGTTCCAAGCCCTTGCATGTCACCCTGGGCCAGGCCAGACGCAGGTGGTGAGGTCAGGAATGTTCAATTTGTTTCAGCCTTAGCTGATGCCTACTTAGTTTGGGCTCCTTTGTGATAAGGGGTTGTTTTATGCCAATTCATAGGTTTTTTTTTTTTTAAGCGAATACTTTTCTTTTGAAACAAAAATGTAAAATTAGAAAACTTTGTTCATTTTAGTGAAGAGCATAATTTCTAATTGTAAAATCGTCATTTTGTACTATTTTTTGATATAATATCCTTAGGAATATGTAGAATAAAGTTTATTCCGCTACATTTTTTTCCTTAACAGTCAAGGTGAGGCAATCGATAGAGTATATTTCCTTCCTTGTTTCAGTAAATCTCAGCATGACCCTTATTTCTGAAGCTATCACAGCAAAACTTTTTAACTTGCTTTATAAGAAATCAGTAGAGCAGGGTACTATGTATGTGATCCAGTGAACATCTGTATATAATGTCACTTTAAATTATTATTTTAAACGAATTGTGTTTTGAAATTGTGTGAGATTTCTTTTCTGCCTTTTATTTATTTTTATGCTTTTGTATCATTTTCAAATATATTGTGAGAATACCACAGGCTTAGTAGTGACTTTGACCGAGTGTTGGGAGCTGACTTATAAACTTCACATACAGAAAAGTGAACATATAGTTGTTTTCTCAATCAGTACCTTAGGAAATTAACACTTTCGGCAGTGGCTATTTGAATTGCAAGTTGCATCTTAAAAACCTTTCCTGCGGACACTCTAAGGACAACTCTTATCACTTATTTTTCTAAACCCTTTAGTATGTATCCTTGGATCATGTTAAATTAACTCCACTGAATTTCCTTTATCTAAAGATAGGTTAATATTTTACCATTCAGCTTTTATCAAGTGTCAATATAAAAGGTAAATAATCCATTGAATGGTACTGAAAAACTCCTTTGAAGATCATTTCCATTAAACTTTTTGTTATCGCCTAAATTCTTGAATGCATCCATATGGAAACATTCACATTTGTTTTGAAGTTAAGGAACTGGTTGTCTCTTGCTGCTAAAGTCATACACCTCCAACCATTATATGAGAACTGTTAGCTTAACATGGTTCTTTGTATGTTTTGGCTGATTGGAAATTCAGAAAAATGTTCTGTTTTATATTGCAGTCATATTACATAGCCTGTAATGTTTACATTACAGATTCTTCAGCTTTCACCTGCAGTTCCCTATTCTCATTGCTGCTTTCCATTCATGTTACACTTATGTTTATGTTTTACTGTATTGCCTTTCTTTGAATATATATCAATACAAATCTATTTGGAAAGTCAAGAGGTATCTAATTTATGTAAAATTTAAATAACGGTTTTTAAAAATATGATTCACTCAGACTACAGAACCAATAGTAAGAAGTTCTTTTGTCTCTGTTGTCACTTGGTTTTTCTTACTTTTTATAGTAATCTTCATTTTCATACTTGATAAAACATAAATAAACAATTTGTTAATACTTTTGTTAGTTCTTTGACCATAAAATAATGAGAATAAGCTGTTTGATGTAATTGTTTATCTAAAAACTACATCTATATTCATTATCAAGTACTTTTGAAATTAAAATCATTGTTTTTATTGGCTACATATATGAAATATATGTAAAAAGTGTACACAATGCAGAAGAAGAAGTAAAATTTTCACAGTTCGGAGATAACCACTATTAATACTTTTAGTATGTGCATACACTCCCACATCTTTTAACATATGTATACCTACGTATTTTTAAAAACATCCTATGTGTTCTATTTTGTATTTTTTAAAATTTCAAACTGAAACATAATCGTCTTTTCATGCCAATAAATATCAACCTATATCATTATTTTAATGATTGCATAGTATTCCATTGTGTGGTGTACTATAACTTATCTAAGCAGTTTGATACTGAATAAGGTTCATATGTTTCTCAATATTTTTTACATTTGTAAACAATGCTGTTATGAACCTCTCTTGCTTATGAGTTATGTGAGTTTGAGAAAAATATCTACAGCATGTTAAAGCATAAATTTGCTACGCAAATAAAAATCCACATTCTATTGATCATGTATTAAAATTTTGGAACACCTTCAAGACAGTCTTTAGTTGACAAATGGAAAACGGAAAAAAAAGGATATAAGTTTTCTTATTTTATGAGCATACTTGCTTCACATTATTTTTGATAATTAAATATATAAAAACAATCAAACTCCAAATAAGGTTTAAAAGTTATATTTGCAGTTATTTATTGTATATTTTCTCCATTCGTTTTTACCCATTACTAGTTTTCATTTAAATTTATAAACCTGACGTATCAGTGTTAGCCTGAATCTTTGATAGATGCATTGATTGTATTTAAATTTTTAAAAATTCTAAAAAGTAAAAATATAGTATAAGAATTCAATACATTTTTTGGAACTATGCACATATTTAAATTATTACTATCTTTGAAAGGACAGCCAATATAAAGAAAAAGAGAAATAGAATCTGCCTAAGTGAAGATAAAATATACCTCTATAGGATCCTGCTGAAACATTAAAAAAGAAAGTCCGGAAATTCAGTTGGTGAAAATCAGGGAGGGGGATATAAAGAAAGATAATTAGTATTTGAACAAAAACACCTGGGTAGTTTTCAATGTTGTACTTTTCATTTTTAGCAACATTTAATGGACTCCTAATAATTAAGCCTTCCAAGGAGGAGCAACACAATTGCACAGCTCAAATTAGTGACAGTGGATTTTAAAAAGCATGTTACCCATTTCCTAACACAGAATAATCAGTAATATGCTGTTAATGGTCAGCTGAAGAATGGCTTGATTAAAACAAGTTTTGTTTTGTTTTCTTAGCTTTTCAAAACAGTCACTTGTACAAATTTTCAATGTGCCTGAAGAGAAAAAAATTAAGAAGTTGTTGCCTTGTGATTGCAAGGCTTCATAGTCAAGGTTATTTGGAGAAGGCTTTTTTGTACAAGAAGTTTCATACTTACTGCTGCTGCCTGTAGTATTATCAATGGCTAAGGGTAACAATAAAATGTTATACATGTAAGTGATATTTTTAGCCCCGTGGGAAAAAGTAAGACTACTTACTTCTTTAAGGGGAAACTTAGGAATGGAATGCATACCAACTTCTCTATAAATAAGTGGTCTAATATAAGAGAATAATAAGAAACATAAATAGACAACTGAAGATAGATGATAGAAGTATTTCCAGCACCTATGACAATACCTGAAGTATGGTAGGCATTCCACAAATACTTGTTGAATGAATGAATTCATATTCTGTGAATTATGTCCCTCTGCTTTCCAATTCTTCTATTAATAATTGGCAAGAGAAATGGGTTATTACAGGATAAGCCATTTTTATTAAATTTCATCCTATGAAGAAATAATTGAGAACTGATTGATAGCAGACTAAGGTATTATCATTGCTTTCATTCTTCTTGTGCTATCTTCCTATTATTGTTTAACACTTGATGGATAAGCTTGAATCAAAAAAAAGTCTCTAATAAATGGCATACCTTAAATAAAACAGTCCATTTGTAGAGGAATGCTTTTCATATAGTAATGGCATGCTGCTTGAAGACCAATACTACTCCATAAGTTTTGTTCTTACGTTGAACCACATGATCGGAGTAATCCCCAAGATACTAGTACTTGCCCATTTGAAATGAATTAAGGCTTACACATTTCAGGGTCTTATTTACTTCCCATGAAGTGTAAGCTTACAACTGATTCCTTGGAGCTTTAAGAGAGTTAATGTATCCCACTTGGCTCTAGGGCATTATTGTTATTACTTAGAAATAATCTAGCTACCGTTGGAAATCTGAGAAGAGAAAGGACTAAGTAACTCAAAGTATTGATACTGAGGATAGAATTCCTGTGAAACTTAAAAAACACACAAACAAACTTCAAGTACTTTCACCCTCAAAAGTTGCAGTCAGTTTTAAAATGTCTCCCATTTGGAGAATAAAAGGCTCAATATTCTCGCTATTTCTTATTAAAAGTTTGAAGCTACTTCACAATTTAGTTTATTTAGTTATTTTAGGGATGCTACAGGAAAAGGGATGCCTTCTGATATTGTAAGGCATAACTTTCAGAGTAAATTTATTTCTTTGTTTTAGAGCTAATGGTAAGTAAAACACCAGATGTTAGCATTTTACATATGAAAAAAATAAGACTTCTATAATGTAGAATAAATATTTTTACATCCTTCTGATGCTTCTTTGAAATTTCCAAAAGGGTAAATTATGCTTTTGAAAAATCAAGGACTTTATAAATCAATATTTGCTGGCATTTAGGAAAACTTTTTGAGCTAATTTACACAGGATGGCAAATGAAATCTTTTTAGACTCAGCTCTCTTCGAAGACTCTGGCCAGTCTAAACATCTGAATACAACAAACACAGATAGGAATTGCAAGCTGTTCTTTTTCAGTATTTTAGGATGCCCTAAATAGATCAGTAAGTTGGTTTTCTTGCCCAACAGTCTATTACATGTCAGTGTCATTAGAAAGGAATGAATACCTTACTGTAGTCTTTGTGGGATAAAGGGTAGCTTTATTATATTATAATAAAAGTTAAATAAAGATGATGAAGAATTTGTTTCTTCAAATAATGAGGGATTTGTAAATTAACTCAAGATTAATTATAAGAAGGGACATAGAGAAAGAAATTGTAATTTAAATGTTACAAATGTAAATGTACACTGTAAAGATATTAGAACTCTGCCTAGTTTGGTATCCATGTTAAGACGAACATCACAGTTTGTATTCAATTTGTTTTGTTATTATGGTTGATTTGACTACTGCAATGATACTAAACCTCAGGAGTATTTCATTTGTACGTTATTTTTCTTAAGTATTGACTGGTGCTAATCTACTCTACTGTCTTACCTCCATCACCTAATCTCAGCTCTACTCTTGCTGAACAAGTCAAGATTATATAAAGTATCTCTGGTTTATGTAGTTTTTCCAAACATCACCTCGGAAATTTATTTGTAATTCTCAGATGTGCATGTATGTGATATTGTACCGTTTTGTTGCAATAAAGTTCCAGGACTTGCATGTTAAGCCACAGTAGAGGATGACAAACTTGGCTACTGTTTATATGTGAATGAATGTATTTATCTGAAGATATTCTTTTTAGAGAATGTAAATTTCATAATGATGCTGATTAAACCAACTACAAAGCTATGGGATCTGTTTGGAATTGTGGTTTCATGATGTACATGTGGGCTGGAGCAGTTGAATACCAAATACTGGGTCACACAACTGGAAATATGTACTGCTAATGTGGGATGGATTTTATGGTAAGAAAGTGTATTCCAAGTATAACAAGAGGTAATGCTAAGAGAAACTGCCAAACTTTTTTGAAGGGGCAACATAGGCAATGAAATAATCTATATGCAAGCTCAGTTGTTTTGTGGAGACATACCACAATAATTTGAAACCTCTCAGGCAAAGGGTAAAAATATATAGGAAGACACAATTTTCTGAAAATTCCCATTATATTTTGATACAAGTGAAGCAAATCGTGAAAGAATGAAAAACAAGCATGAACTGGGAATTTCTCTTACTTAAATCTCCAAAAGCAAAACAATTTTATTTTAGGCAGATTGAGTTCCTCAGAATACTGGGTCTTTTTTTTTTTACTATTTTTTAATCTTTAAGTCATGAGAGAAGCATAATTGTAATCTATTTTTCTGCTCAAAGAAAATGGATCTCTTTAATATGTTCAAAGGAGATAAATAGGGTGGAAAACAGGACCAGAAACTTACCTCAACAACAGAGTTCATCATGAAGATCATTTAAGCTGAGAATTGTATTTTATCTAATCTTGGATGATACAATTTTAGAGAATTGCTAACTGTTCTGGGGAAACTGTTTCTTTTGCTTAATGTGCAAAGGCTATCATTCAGTTTTCTGGATGACTGAAAATGTTATTAAATACATGAAACAATATGTAAACTGTGTCTAAAAAAGTAAAATACAATTGTTGCTCATTGAATTATTAAGAACACCATAGTCAATTAAGAACACCTAAGTCAATATTAAGAATCCTTAAAAGAGAGAGGAAGTCCAGGATAAATAGAATACCCCTGTTTTGGAATGCAAACAAGTCAGTTTTGTAATTGGAAAAAAAATGGAAAACACACCTATGTCATATACTAGTTAATAACATTGTATCCAGGAACAGAGCTCTACAAAAACATGTAGAAGTGATGATTGAATACCAAAAGTGAAAAAGTCATGAAAATTCTTCCCAACAACTCTGAGATCCATGTGTCTCTTCTATCACTGTAGGCCCACAACAACAAGAATGCAGAAGAGGAAAGATGTGGCCCTTAGGAATAAAAACTTGTGACATCCCACTGAAATTTTGTAAGGAGCATCACTATTTAATGCTATAAATTGTCTCAGAAAAATAGACTATTTCTCTTTGTTTTCTTAGTTTCAAGTACGCTATCTGAAAGCTCCAGAACTTTATGTAATTCTTATCAAGGTATTCCAGCAATCATTTCTAACTTTTAATAACAGTGACTCTGAAATGTGTCACGGTGTTTTGATCTTTTAAAGCTCTCTTTGTTTTATTGTCTGCACACAGATGTCCCAACTAGCTGAATTTCTGTAATCACTATGGCACAAATGGTGGACTGAGGCTATTAAAAATTCAAGATTTGCATGTCAGTTGGGATGGTAGGCAGTGCTAATTATGGTAAAGTTAAAATCTTTGTGTTTGTAGAGAAATTAAATGGATGAGTGAATTAGTGGGTAGGTATGTGCATATATACATTCACACATATAAAAAGATTATAAAGAGGGCATAAAAAGGAGCTAAGACGAACACAAGGAATCCAAGAATAACTCTGTATATCTATTATATGGATTCAAATTAGGAATCACAGACTTCCTAGGCCAAAGACAAGACTGTGGTTCCTGAGCAATGCAGTGTTCTAAGGCAAGGTAGTTAGACAAATGATAATAGCTGGAAAGTGCTACAGGCAAGGCTGGTCCCTGTTACAATTCATTACAGTGAGATCATTATGATGAACTGATATTTACCAGCATATGTGTATGGAAGTATTGGCCCACATGTAGTTAAAAAGCAGTATTGAAAGCTACTTCACGCATGTCGGCCTATTGCATTTCTCAAAATTTGGCCCAAAGTGTGCCAGAATCACCAGGATATTTTGTTAGAACCGAGATTCTTAGGACTCAGCGTTGGCTTACTGAATCAAAGTCAATGCAATAGTGGTGACAGTGTGATGAAGAGCAGAAATCTACAGTTATCTCCATAGTCCCCAGGAGATACTTATGTACACATAAATATCCAGAAGAGGGGTCAGCAAATAGTTTCTGTGAAGGAACAGATAGCAAATGTTTCAGCCTTTATGGGACAAGAGGTAACATCAAAAGTATTACACAGGCATTTATATAGCAGAAAAAAGTTTCAAAAATTTCAAATTTGATGAAATTCAAAATATAGCCGCAATATTGAAAATAAAGAGTATGTTTTTTTTTTTTTTACACTATGGCTATAAGAGTTTTGGGGAGTGGGTTACAGTACAATATGGTTCAAAGTTAGTGTTCAAGTTGATGGCAAAGGTGTTCATTTGTAAAAACCTTTTTAGCTTGTGGCCGTAGAAAAACATGTGGTGGCTCATAGTTGGCATACAAGCTGTTACTTTCTAACCCCTGATCTAGAAATTCTGGTACAGAGGCTTATGTTAGTTCATTCCAACTGCTGTAACAAGCTACTATTTCTGTTATGAGCAACCACAATTTATTTCTGAATTCTGGAAGTTGGAGAATTTGAGATCAAGGCACTGGGAGATTAGGTGTATGATGAAGGTCCATTCCTTATAGATCATGTCTTCTCTCCGTATCCTTACATGGCAGACGGGGCCAATATACTCCCTAGGCAGGCTCTATTCATGAATTCCATTAGTGAAGGTTCTGCCCTCATGATTTAGTCACTTCCCCAAAGGCCCTGTCAATGTCATCACATAAGGAGTTAGGAATTTAACTTGAGAATTCTAGAGGAATATGAACATACAACCATAGAAAGGTAAAATGTTGAATTTCTTCAACAAAGTTAAGCTATTTTAAAATTTAATTACATACACTACATAATAATCGAACCATTGCCCCCTTACCTTCTAGTTATGTTCCTCCTTGTATTTCTTCCATTAGTAAATGTCATTTCCTTTCTTAAAAATTTTAGTCTTAAAATCTTGGAATATTCTTGACTTCATTCTTTTTATCACACTCCATAACCTATCAGGAAATCATAACTAATTTTTCAAAATATGTTCATACTTGTAGGATTTTTACCATCTCTATTGTCAACAGCCCTGTTCAGATCGCCATCATCTATCACCTACATTATTTCAATAGTTTCCTAACAAATCTTTTTGCCCTCATCCTCTACTTCCTACGTCCTATTGAATAAACTGCCAAGGTGATTTTTTACAAATGTAAGTCAGATCATTTAACTTTCCTGCTCTAAATATCCAATGGCAGACCACTTCACACACAGCAAAATTCAAAGTCTTTACATGGCCTTACCTCCTCAATTAAATCCCTCACTCACTGGCACAGATATTTGGCTCAACAGGTTAAGGAGAAAGAGAAGGAGAAGGAGAAGAGAGAGAGAGAGAGAGAGAGAGAGAGAACATGAGAATGAATGATCTGTCAGGTTCACTCTTAAAATGACAAAAAAAAGTCAGGTCAGGGCCAGGCCAAAGCCAGTAGAGTAGCAAGGCACTCCATCCAGGATTCTTCCAGGTCTCCCACATGGGAGGCAGGGAACCAAGTAGTTGAGCAGTCTTCCACTGCCTTCCCAGAAACATTAGCAGGAAGCTGGATGGGAAGTGGAGCAGTCAAGACTCAAACATGCTACTATTACAAGTGGCGGCTTAACTCACTGCACCACATTGCTAGCCTAAAGTACGTTTATCACGGTCATATACAACACTCTTCTAGACACTGAGATGCAGCAATGAGCAAAGTCCTTTCCTCTATGGAGAATACATTCCATTGGTGGTGGGGAACAAAAAATGCAAATAAACATAAAGCATGTCAGGTAATTTTTAAAGCTATGAAGAAAAAGGTAGGTAAGTTAAATAAGGGGAATAAAGGATTTGGGAAGGCAAGGAGGTTTGCAATTTTATATAGGTGGTGAAGAAAGGCCTTTCTAATTTGCTGATATTTTAACAGTGCCCTGGGTGATGAAATGAGCCTTGGAGGTATCTGGGGGAAACAGAATTCCAGGCAAAGTGACAAAGTGAGAGTAGATTAACTGGGCTAGGGGCATGCATGATATCTCAGAGGACACTAAGGTGACCATTTGGCAGGAATGGCATGAAAAATGGGAAGAGGAGTGAGGAAATCTAAAAATTTTTATTTAGTTATTTTCATTTTATTTGAAAGGTAGATGGGGTAGAGAGACATCTTCCATATACTGGTTCATTACCTAAACACTTGCAACAGCCAGGGCTTGTTTCAGACCTAAGCCAGGAACCAGGAATTCAATTCTTTTCTCCCAAGTGGGTGACAGAGACCAAAGTCTCTGAGCCATAACCTGGTGCCTCTGACATAAGTAAAGTGAGCATTATTAGGAAACTGAAATCAGAAGCAGAGCCAGGACTCCAACCCAGGAACTTCAATATGGGATGGGGGTGGGGAGAGGGTCCCAAGTGGTGTCTTAATGACTACACCATAGCCTAATCCATAACTATTTAATAAACGAATTATGTGATGTGGTGGGATGTAACATGAGAAGCAAAAGGAATTATTATGTCATTTAATTCTAGCAGAATGGAACAGAATGCATTTTGTTAAAAATGAAAATAAAAAAAGAAACAGTAACAGCAAAATGAAACCTTCCCTGAGTGTACAAAAACTATACTCACAGGCAATTCAAGAAAATATTAAAGTGAATGTGAAAGGCTCTTTGAAAACTGGGACAATAGACATTTTTTTTTTTAGATATATCAGCTCTTCTTTACTTAACATATATGATTCTATTGTGGATAAAATTAACAAGCATTAAAAATCCTTAAAATAGGGGTGGGCATTTGGCAAAATATTTAAAACACCTTCTCTCCTATCAGAGTACTTGAGTTCAAGTTCAAGTACCAGTTCCACCAATTCCAGCTTCATACGCATGCACATTCTGGGAGGCAGCAGCTGATGGGTCCCATGTGGGAGACCTGAATTGAGTTACCAGCTTCTGGCTTTGGCAAGGGCCCAACACTAGCTATTGTGGACATTCCTGGAGTGAAGCAGCAGATGGAAGCTCTCTGTCTCTGTCTTTCTGCCTCAGATAAAGGAAATAAATAACAACTCTTTAAGCTTTTAAAATAAAATAAAAAATTCAATAAACTTAGAATGCCAATTTGACTATATTAATGCTGTATCCTACATTTCTATTAACCAAATGCAAATTGTAAGATGATGAGAAACTGTAAAATATTAACATCAATTATGACAAATTGCTGGTTGCAATATTTATTTTTATATGAAGAGGTCACACAGGGGAAAACATTTGATGCAGCAGTTGAAAAATGCCACTTGGGACGCCTGCATCCTAAATCAGTGTTTTGCAGTTCACGTCCTAGCTCAAATCCTGACTCCGGCTTCCTACTAGTGCATATCCTAACAGGCTGCAAATGATAGCTGAAGTATTTGGGTCCGTGCCACTTACATGAGAGATCCAGATTGTGCCCCAGGCTCCTGGTTTTGGCCTGGCCCAACCCTGGATGTTGTGGGCATTTGGAGAATGAACCAGTGGATGGAAGATCTATCTGTCTCTTTGTATCTCTCACTTGCTCGCTTGCTTGCTTGCTCTCAAATGAAATAACTGCCCTTGGGCAGAAGTAGCTTCAAAAGGAAAAGCTAAGAAATATGTCAACAAACAACTATAAAGAATAAAAAGAAATAAACAGGGTGAGCATTTGATGTAGTGGCTGATATCTCACTTGGGACTCCCTCATCTGATTTGGGTTTGATTTCCAGCTTGACTCCTGATTCCAGCTTACCCTAGAAGGCAGTAGGTGGTGGCTCAAGTAGTTAGGTCTCTGCCACATACATGGGAGATCCAGACTTAGTTCTTGGCCCCTGGCCCAGTCCTAGCATTTGGAAAGTGAATCAGAGAATAAGAGATCTCTGTCCCTTTCCCTCTCATCTTTAAAATAAATAAATAAATAAGTATTTTTAAAAGGAAATACTAAGTAGACAGCAAACATTTGGCAATATCCAAGAAAACTAGATGAGAAATGGAAATTGTGGGGCCAGCACTGTGGCGTAGCAGCTAAAGCTGCCGCCTGCAGTGCTGGCATCCCATATGGGCACCGGTTTGAGTCTCGGCTGCTCCACTTCTTATCCAGCTCTCTGCTGTGTCCTGGGAAAGCAGTAGAAGATGGCCCCAGTCCTTGTGCCCCTGCAGCTGTGTAGGAGACCCAGAAGAAGCTCTCCTCTGTCTCTGCCTATCTGTAACTCTGACTTTCAAATAAATAAATGAATCTTTAAAAAAAAGAAATGGAAATTTAGTGAGATGTCATATTCACCTGTGAAATTCATAATACTTATAGCAATAGCCAATGTTGGTTAGATTGTAGTTAAAACAGGTACTCTCAGGTATTGCCGATCAATATTTGAACTTAAAAAACTCTTTTGAAACTATTTTGGTATTATGCTTTAGTGCCTTTAAAGTTGTTCTTTGCTTTTGAATAGTGGCTATCGTCCTAAAACACATATATGTACAAATTCCCCATTAGAAAGGAAAATGCCACTTTCAAACACTCATTAAAGATCTTTGGTGTAATCTTCACTCCTCACCACTTTCCTGCAGCCTTGTTAATATGATTTAAAAAAGTGAAAGAAGTGAAAAAATGGCTAGATTTGTTAAGCATACCACCTTAAAAATTTTTATCTATGTAAATAAAACTTTAGTAGCTATTTAAAATGTTATCTAACATTTCGTTTTTGTGTGTATGTGTCTGTGAGGACACTTAGAAAAATTCATGGAAAATGGAATTACAAGATGAATTTATTACTGTGTAAACATTTTTTGAAATGCATGCATATGAGGGATATGAGGAGTCTTCAAACAATTCATGGAAAATGTAGGTCATGAAAATATTACACATGGATTTCAAAAGTTGCTGAACCAAAATAAGCTTGCCTTTTTTTATGCTTATTTGAAAGACAGAGAGAGAGAGAGAGAAAGGCAGAAAAATCTCCCATATGCTGATTTAGCCCTCCAATGGCCGTAATAGCTTGAGTTGGCCAGGCTGAAGCTAAGAGCTGGGAACGCTATCTGGGTCTTCCATGTGGGTAGTGTATACAAGCACTTGAGCCATCACTTGCTGCCTCCCAGGGTGTGCATTAGCAGGAAGCTGGATCAAAAGCTGAAGAGCTAAGTTTTGAACTATGCACTCCAATATGCAATTCAAGCATCCCAAACAGTGTCTTAACTACAGCACCAAATGCCCAACCCTAAATTTATCTTTTAATTTCATTTTCCATGCACGATTTAATGTGCCCTTATATTGCTAAACTATATTCTA